TGTATCTTGTGAGGGCTACTTACAGCAGTATAACACACTCACACTGTTAAATCATCATTGATTTCTTGAACTTGACAATGAAACATGTTTGCAGTTGTTTTGCTGTGTATTTTAATGTTAAACTGTAGTGTCTATGACTAAAAAAATGTGTCTAAAAGCTATCTCCTACAAATCCAGCACTCATAACTGGAATAAGAGAATCAAACACTGATATGGCGTCACATATTTTGCTCATCCTGGCTGATGACCTTTTCATGAGCTAGGTTATTGATTACTGTATACAATACTGCAGCTCTTGTAGAGGATGTGATGTCTCATTGCATATTTAAAGCATTGCTGTGCCCGTTCAAATGAGCTGGACATGCACCCCAGAGGATTACCGAACAATTATCTCCCAGTACAGCTCTATAGCAGTGGTAATCATGGGCTTCACACACTCAGGGGTCAGGAGCAGTGCATGAGCCAGTACTAGAGAAAACCTACCATGTGCCATGCCAAAAACCTCTAATGCTGGTTAAAAGACTGAAATGATTCAACTACATCATGAGGTAGACCAAGGCCAAAATTAGTCTAGTGGCATCAAATGATGTTGCAAAAATAATGGTCGGCTCACAGCCTCTTTTATTGGTCAACAAACAGGTACTGGGAAACATCCATACACACTCATTCACACACATAAACTACTGCCAATTTAACTTACCCAATTCATCTATACCACATGTCTTAGAACTGAGGGGGAAACCAGAGCACCCGGAGGAAACCCACACGAACACGGGGAGAACATGCAAACTCCACACAGAAATGCCAACTGACCCAGCCGGGCCTCAAACCAGGGACCTTTTTCCCCAATTTCTGTTTAACAGAGAGACTTTTTCAACACATTTCTCAACATAATAGTTTAATAACTGATTCCTAATACCTGATTTATTTTATCTTTATCATGATGACAGTAAATAATATTTGACTAGATATTTTTCCATGACAGATTTTTTTTCTATACAGCTTAAAGTGACATTTAAAGGCTTAACTGGGTTAATTAGGCTAACTAGGCAGGTTAGGGTAATTAGGCAAGTTTTTGTATAACGATGGTTTGTTCTGCAGACTTTCAAAAAATAAAGCTTAATGGGGCTAATAATTTGACTCTAAAATGGGTTTTAAAAAATTTAAAACGGCCTTAAATTCTAGACGAAAAAAACAAATAAGACTTTCTCCAGCATTTTATCAGACATACTGTGAAAATTTCCTTGCCCTGTTAAACATCACTTGGGAAATCTTTAAAAAAGAAAACAAAATAATCAAAGGGGGGCTAATAATTCTGACTTCAACCGTATATGGCTAGAACTGTGCTAAACACTTTTATGTGTGATTAACTGGTGACCTAAAATGTTTAATTTTAAGATTTTTTAAAGGCCAAACTAGATCACACTTTCAAACTGAAGCTTTTAAAACATCTGCTCAGACATTCTCAAACCAACATCAAAGTTGGTTCAGACAACAGTAAAATTATTTTAAAAAAATCTTCTAAATCCCTTTCTAAATCATTTACTGAGTCCATGCTTATATCTCATGCAGTTTTGCGTACTGGATTGTTTTTCTTGTTTAACTGGTGTTTATTTACAAACAGAAAAACAGATACAAATGAACACAGATATAATTTTCTGTGTGGCATAAAACATTAGCTACTGAATGAAACCTATTACTAATGTAATCTAGGTTGTCTCTCTGAGTACCAGAGTGCACTGTGGTAATTAAGCTCTTTCAAACTGATAGGTATGTGAACCCAGTGTGAAATTCTTGGTGAAATTCCCTGTCTCATAGGACTACCGTTTGTGTGTGTGTGTGTGTGTACAGTGTGTCTTTGTGCCGACCTCAGGGCATTTCTCTTATGGTCCAGCTTAGCCACGGATTTGCCCCCTACAATGCACTATGGCGACAGTCTGTGACCCCGACACCAGTGACTGCTGACACACTACACATACAGACTGACTGCCCTCAAAATAACCCTTTGACCCAAGATGAAGTCCTCTAAAACAAATGTTGCAAATCACTACTAATATATGTTTTGTGTGTGTTTGTGCACTAAGAGTAAGCTAAACGTGAAAAAAAAATATGATTTTACGATTTTATCAATCCTTTTTCACTTTTTTAAGACAATTTAGCAAATTATTGAAGCAAACAAGGCAAACTAGTATCCCTGTTCAATAAAAAAAAATTCCATAAGGTAACAAAGCATGAAAGAAAAAAAAACAGACCATTTAGCCCAAAGTAGGGCAGCACAACATATAATTTCAGCATCTATATCACAAAGTGTGTCCACAATAGTCACATCGCAGAATATGCAATGTTGAGGGATCATAGTTTATCAGCACAACAGTAGAGATGAGATTTGTGGAGTCATTGCAAAGTATAGCCATAACAGAGCGAATCTTTCTCATTTGTATGCGTTTTAAAGGAATTTCAAGTAAATTTAAAGCATTCAGGCACAAAACTGTACAACATTTGTTGTTTTAATGACGACTAATTTTATTGACTTATTAATACAACGAAGATCATACAGTGTTATTTTACATTCCACTATTCAATTTCTGTGCCTGAATACTGTTTGACATTTATTCATTTTATACATGATTGATATACAAGAGGGCTTCTCAAAGTCCAGACTCTGGTCCGGATCCAGACCTCAAGGGTATTCAATTCCAGGCCCGACTCCATTTCGTATTGCAAGACTGTGCATAAAGGATTCAAATTGTGGATTTTTCTTTATTGATAAATGCACAAACGATATAAATCAACTGTTTAGTTGAAAAAATAAAAAATCTGGGCCAAAATAAAATCGAAGGCAATATACTCTGTTGTCATGACATCCAGTGATCATACGAGGCTTCAAGTGATGGAGCAGGCTTATCGCGTGCACGCCAGCTTTAACACATCGCAGCAAAGCGATCATTTGAATGGATGAAGACATCTGTGTCACGGAAAATGGTGAAGAGAATAGACAGTTCAAAGTTGAATGGACATATAGGTGTGCGTTTATTTTGCCACAAGCCAGCACAAAGCCATTCTGATTTATTTGTAATGAGACAATTGGAGTTGTAAAGAGTGGAAATGTAAAACCCCACTATGATCAAAACACAGTAATCTCGAACGGCAGTATCCACAAATTACAGATATAAGGACCACAAAACTACAACACTTAAAGTTTTCATTAGACACCTTTTATATTTTTCACTTTTTTTGGAGAGAGGTCTGAATGCAGACCTGGTGCAGTGGGCCTGCATGCAAAGCTTTTTAATTCCCACACCTAACCCTAGCTCTCACAATGACATCACTAGCTCTACTCAGTTCATTGTGTCTGACATTGCATCTCTGAGATATGTAGTCTCAGCTTGCATCATCATGGCTGCATCCAGATGATATTGGCCTACCTTTTGTTGTGTTCTGTATAAAAATGCACTTATATTAGTGGTTTTGCCACATTTGCATTGTGTTTATTGTGTTTGAATGCAAATGTCACTTTATTTAAAGAAAAATGAATAGTGTTGACTTGTGATACATGTAATGGATGTTTATTAAAAATAATTTATGTAATATCAATTATTACGAACCTTTGACCTTAATAAAATTCAGATTTTGACCTTTTAATGTAAACATTGAGAACCCCTGATATACAGTTAAAACCAGAAGTTTACATACACTGTAAAAAAGGCACATAACCCTTAAAAAAAAAGTCAGATGTTAATGTGACTTAACTTTTTCTCTTTTTGGTAAGTTAGGATTATCACATTTGTTTCTGTTGTGTTTAATAGTAGAATAATGACAGATATATTTTTTTGAGAAATTGTTATTACTTTTCTTGAAAGTCAAGTTTAAATACAATAAGATTATTATGCCTCTGAAAAAGCTAAGATGATGGTGTCAAGGTTTTGGAAGTTTCTGATTGGCTAATTGACAACATTTAAGTTAATTGGAGGCACAACTGTAGAATAGTATTTAAGGAAAACCTCAAACACACTGCTTCCTTGTGTGACAACATGGAAAAAAAATCAACAAGCCAGAATCAACAAAAAAGCCAGGTTACAATTTGCTAAATTACACTGGGAAAATTAAAATTTTTGGAGACATGTCCTGTGGTCTGATGGAACTAAGATTGAACTGTTTGGCCATAATGACCAGTGTTACATTTGAAGTATGGGGGCGGCAGCATCATGTTGTGGGGCTATTTTGCTGCAGGAGGGACTGGTCCACTTCACAGCATAGAAAGCACTGAAGCAACAGTTTAAGACATAAGCCAGGAAATTAAAACTTGGCCACAAATGGGTCTTCCAAACAGACCATGTTTTAGAGTGGCCATCACAAAGCCCTGATCTCAATCCTATAGAAAATTTGTGAGTTGAAAAAGCTTGTGCGAGCAAGACAGCCAACAGTTTTGACTCAGTTACACCAGTTCTGTCAGGAAGAATGGGCCAAAATTCCTTTAAACTATTGTGAGAATCTTGTGGAAGGATACCCAAAACATTTGACCAACGTTATACTGTTTAAAAGCAAAGCTAAAAAATATCAATGAAATGTGTGTAAACGTTTGACTGTCTAGAAATTAATAAAACATTTTTTTAAAAATATCTCTCATTATTCTGGCATTTAACAAATGTAAATAATTTAGGTAATCCTAACAGACCTAAAATAGTAAACATTTAGTATGATTTACCATCAGACATTTAAAAAAAAAATGGTTATGTTGTTTTTTTTTAGAGTGTATGTAACCATCTGGCTTCAACTGTACATTAGGATCTCCCTAATCCATCTAAATTCATGATTTTTTTTTCCAAATAGAGCTATTTAAGCCATCTGGTGAAATTGTATTCCTAATGCAATATATATATATATATATATATATATATATATATATAGCTGAAAAACAAAATATTGCAATGTCAGATTTTTCCAATATCATGCAGCCATAGCTCAAAGTACATTTTAGAGAATATTTGAACACATCTCACCTCTCTGAGTTCCTGCATTAGGGCGTTGAGGTGTTCGGTCTCTGCTTGGGCGTTGGAGGCTGCGGAGCTGCTCACTTTGAGCTGGGATTGAAGGTCATCCAGACGTCCCATGTAATAGGCTTCTTTAGAGGCTGACTCCTGCAGCAGCGTCTCTTCATTTGTCTCCCCATCCTCGGCTACTTTACGCTGGTTGGTGTATGCCTGACCAAATGCCTGCAGGAAAATTAAAGACAGAGAAAAGAAGAAAAACAACATCAAAAAATATACATTACAACTACTACACTCATCGTCCACTTTATTAGGTACATCTGTCCAACTTCTTATTTATGCAAATTTCTATTCAGCCAATCCCATGACAGCAACTCTATGCATTTAGGTATGTAGACAAGGTCAAGACGATCTGCTGCAGTTCAAACAGAACACCAGAATGGGGAAGGAAGGTGATTTAAGGGACTTTAAACGTGTCATAGCTGTTGGTGCCAGAAGGGCTGGTCTGAGTATTTTAGAAACTGCCGATCAACTGGGATTTTCATACACAACCATCTAAGGTTTACAGACAACAGTCAGAAAAAGAGGAAATATCCAGCGAGCAGCAGTTCTGTGGGCGCAAATGCCTTGTTGATGCCAGAGGCCAGAGGAGAATGGCCTGACTGGTTCAAGCTGATAGAAAGGCAACAGTAACTCAAATAAGCACTCGTTACAACCGAGGTTCTGATGAGTCTCGATTTCTGCTGCGACATTCGGATGGTAGGGTCAAAATTTGGCTTCAACAACACAAAAGCATGGATCCATCCAGCCTTGCATCAATGGTTCAGAATAGAGCACCTTATGGATTTGGTAGAACGAGAGATTCGCATCATGGATGGGCAGCCGACAAATCTGTATATGAACCAAAATCTCTGAGGAATATTTCCAGCACCTTGCTGAATCTATGCCATGAAGGATTAAAGCAGTTCTGAAGGCAAAAGAGGGTCCAACCCGGTAAAAGTAAGGTGTACCTAATAAAGCGGCAGGTGAGTGTATATTACAAGTGGCGTTTTCGCAGTATGTGTATAGTGTTATTTAAAATGTTTGGGTCAGTAAGTGATAAATCAAGCATTAAAACAGGAAAAGAAAAAGATGTCTATATAAAAGATAGAAAAAAATATATTTTACAAGTGGTGTTTGTGCAGTGTGTGTGGTGTTGTTTAAAATGTAGGAGTCAAGTAATAAATCAAGCATTAAAACAAGACAAGAAAAAGATGTCTATATACAGTAAAAGATAAGCATAGTTACAGTACAGCTACTATAGTACAGGTTGTGTTTTTGTAGTATGTATAGTGTTTAAAATGTAGGGGTCAGTAAGTTAGTATAAAGTATCAAGTATAATCAAGTATAAAGACAAGAACTTGTCACCACATACCAGCAGTTTTAGCACCATATTTATCCACAACAGGCCTAAACAGCAGAACTACCAGTACAAAAACACATTCAGTAAATTCTAGTTTAATAATTGTTACTAGAAATATTATTTAAATGCTTGCTAAATGTATCTGATAAATTTTTGATGCACATAATGAGTGTTTCCTCCAGGTGCTTCGGTTTCCCCCACAAGTCAAAAGACATGCGGTATAGATGAATTGGGTAATGCTAAATTGTCCGTACTGTATGTGTGTGAATGAGAATGTATGGGCATTTCCCAGTAATACATGTAGGTTGCAGCTGGAAGGGCATATGCTGAGTAAAACATATGCTGGATAAGTTGGCAGTTCATTCCGCTGTGGCGACCCCAGATTAATAAAGGGACTAAGCCGAAAAGAAAATGAATGAATGAATGAATGAATGAATGAATGGTATGTGGTAGTAAGTGACTCTTTATTATTATTTTACCTCAGTATGCTTTGTTTACAAATAGTGCACATTGTCCAATTAGCTTCATGCTAGTATTTCATTCTTAAACTTCTAATTGAAAGCTCCTTCGTAAACCTAGTATAACTTAAACATAGACTTATTGCATTAACATAACTTTGTCCAATGACATACTCATTTATCTTAAATGATCAAGATATTAGCAGATTTTCGGATAGTGCCGATAGCAAGTGTCAAAGAAAATTAAGTGGCTCGCTTGACTAGACAAATATGCTAAAAGACAGCATATAAACACACCAATAACATGATCTGATCTGACATAAAATGAAAAGGCATTATTACTCCGTGTGCATATTTCACTGGTCAATCATCACTCAAAAACCATCAACAAGGTATGTTACCCCTACATACAGTAGTACAATGTATGTGAAGTGTTTGATTTTTAACTTTAAAGAATGCATCCTGGTGAAGTAGGCCCATACTTTTCAGCATCATCCACCTGTCCAGACAAAGTGCTGTACTTCAAGGTAACCCAGATAATATTTCAGCCTCTCATTCTGATCAATAGAAACAGTGTTCTGATTCCCCTGACACAGGTTTTCACGCCATGCCGATCCAACGTGTCAGGATTTAAGCATCCTGTCTTGATTGGAAGATATTAGATGGTAAACAGGCGCCCGGGTGAATAGTCTGATTTATTTTAAAGGCCTAATACAACATCTATCTGAGGTAAAAAAAAAAACAAAAAAACATCTGTTTCCTCATAACATGAACTTCTGTTTTATCGCCTTATATTTTCTGAAACAGATTATTCAATAATGGTTTCTAAAACTCCTCCTTTTTGAGAGATTGCTCTGCTCTGATTGGTCAGATGGTTGGCCCAGTCTGTTTTTATTGGTTGACTGTTTACAGTCTATGTCTATCACATCCATAACACTTTTTTATAATTATTATTATTTAGCGCTCTGTTGCATTTCAGTCACAAGATCTTTAAAGAACATGGAAAAAGCTCATCTGATTAATAGATCGATTATGATTAATTATTGGTAATTATCGATTATGATTATTAAAACAATCGATAGCTGCAGCCCAAGCATCATCAAATTGTTTCGAAACAGCTTGTTCAAGAATCTGGTCTCTAGTCTAAACCCCTCCTTTTCAAGGGTCTGCTCTGCTCTGATTGGTCAGATAGTTGGTCCAGTTTGTTCTGACTGGTTGACAGCATTCAGTGTGTCTCTTAAACTAAATACTTTGTCTATGTCAAATAAATACATAACCATATCTGAATTCCAGCTCTATAGTCTTCCTATACATGTGTAAACATAGTGATATAAATGATACGACATCAGATCTACTGTATCAATTCAAATCAGAATGCTTATCTTTTGGAAATGAATGCGTCATATATGTATTTGCTTTCACAGCCTTTTCTCAACATGTCATTTTCTTAACATGAGAGTCAAAGTTGACATTAAGGCATTTTCTGTGCATTCATACACGAAAGGTATTATTCAAAACCCATTACCGGGGCACTTTCAAAGATAGTAATCAATAATGCACATCACTGACCACAATAATGCTGGTGCAGGTATGTGCTCCTAATACCTTGAGCATTACGAGCAAGGTATAACTGGGATGAGCACCAGCAGAGATGTCCCATCAAATCAGAAAATCAATTGTAGATGCACTAAAATGAGGAAGAGATATGTATATGGACAGGGGGAAAATCAATTGGAGTGCTCATAGACGGCACCTTGCAGCAAGTCTGAAAAGAGGAGGTGGTTAAAATGTTGCTGATGTGGATAAAGTAAATGTCAAATACTGGAGTTACTTTCCAAACACTGAATCTATTCCACTCAGAAGTAACTTATGAAAGAAACATTTCAAGAAGTAAAAAACGTTCAATTAAATTAGCCTAGGTATAATTAAAATGTACGGTTTTGTATAGCAATTTATACAACATATTTGGCATATACAGTTTTTTTTTTAATATGTACATTTAGCTGTATTTTATATGCATAATTCTAAAAAGAATACACTTAAAATACAAATAAAATAAAAATGTGATCGCATACACTTTTTTAAATGACCTGCATCTTATAATGTAAACATCAAATGCATTGTATTTTTTATAGCCTTTTGAATTGGATCAGTGTATATTGTCTGTTGTGACCACAAACCATTTATCACACTTGCCCTTTCAACGAACATGAATAATGAAGATATTCCTACTCCTTGAATGTTTTATTATTGTCAGGAAGTTGATTTATAATGCACTTTGTAGTATATTTGTTGCAATCCTCAAGTTCTATTCAATATTTGGGTTTTTAGTGGTTAACAACTCATTGCTAATAGATAATCTGTGAATAATGTCCTACATTTAAGTGTGTTTCTTGCACAAAATCACTGTACAGCTTCAAAAGATTTATTTAACTACTTTTTACTATTAAACCTTAATCAGTTTTATGGTTGAAGAATGTTGGAAACTGGTAACCATTGTCATTCATACCAGAAAAAAACAAATCATATGGAAGTCAATGGGTACGCTGCAAAAAATGCTTTTTTTGTCCTGTTTCTAGTCCAAATATCTAAAAACATTTAAAATCAAGCAAACATATGGTCTTCTTTTAAGTAATCATATGTTAAAATGAAGAGAGTTTCTCCTTAAAACAAGCAAAATAATCTGCAATAGGGGTAAGCACAATAATTTTATGTCATAAAGAATAACAAGCTTATTGTGCGTACCCCATTTGCAGATTATTTTGCTTGTTTTAAGTTTGCTTTGTTTTAATTTTGGCATATTATTTCTTAAAATATGACAATTTTTGATTGTCAAGAAAATGACTTAAACTTTTTTTAGATATTTGGACTGAAACAAGACAGAAAAAATCTAAGTAAGATTTTTGCAGTGTACTGATTACTGTCTGGTTATGTAAAAGCTACTACAGCATTCTTCAAAATATGTTCTTTGTGTTCAAAAGAAACTAAAACAGTTTTAGAATAAAAAGAGGGTGAGTTAATGATTACAAAATGTACATTTTGGGTGAACTAACCCTTTAAAACTGCTTTTAGGGGTATGGTTTACTCATAACAGAAAAGTAAGTACAACAGAAAGCATCAATTTAATTTTGGGAGAAGTATCCCTTTAAAGCTTACAGTTTTTCTTGTTAAAGGAATAGCTCACACAAAAATTTCATCATTTACTCACCCCTTACTTGTTCCACACCTGTTTGAGTTTCTTTCTTCTGTTGAACACAAAAGAAGATGTTTTGAAAAAAGCTAAAAACCGTAGAACTCCAAACCTTTAGTTTTTTTGTACAATTAAAGTCAATGGTTACATGTTTTTCAGTTTTTTATATATTTTCTTTAGTGTTAAACTCAAAGGTAGATTACATGTTTTGGAGAAC